CAGGCCGGTGCAGCTGCCCCCGTGCTGGCACGGGGCGCGCGCGCAGGCGTCCGGGTAGAGCACGCAGCCCAGCTTCAGCTCGGTCAGGCCCACCACCTCGGCGAAGCTGCTGCGCTTGTTCTGCAGCGGCAGCTCGTGGGCGTTCAGCACCACCGAGTCCAGGCAGCCCTGGAAGCCACTCAGCACCTGCGTGACCCGCGTGTCTGTCAGGCTGCGGATGTTGTCGGCCTGCACCAGGGCCCCAAAGTAGATGGTGCTCTCGGCGCTCAGCGTCTGGAAGTAGAGGGGGGCCCTGCGCCGCTCCACGTAGCTGTCATCCAGGGACAGGCTCGTGAAGTTGCGGTTGAGCTCCAGGAAGACCGAGTGCCAGCTCCCGTCGTTGACCGCCCGGCCCGAGATGCCCAGGATGCCCGGGCCGCTGCCGCAGTCCAGCTGGAACCACAGCTTGCCGTCCACAATCTGCGTGACACGGAAACCAGAGCACAGGTCAACACGCACCCTGCGAACTATGCCTGGGTCCCGCTTCCTGGGGAATCCTCAGCGGTTTGAATTTTGACAGCCCCGGTCTCATTATTTGCCATGCAAATGCATGCCTGGTGCCTCGTGAGTCTTCTTGTTTCATAATCAGCAATTGAGCACAGTTCCAGAAATCTACCATTAGACATAAAAAGAAAATAACTGTTCCTGTGCTTTGGGGAGGCACCCTTGTACAATTCACCTCCTGCAATGTCTGGCACCACCGCAGGGGGGAGTTCTGCTGACTCGGTTACTTTTATCTACAAGTATTTACTGAATTTCTGTTGAGTGCCAAAGGACCCCTGGTGGTCCCCCAGGTTACTCCCCAGGCTGCTAACCGTAAGCTCAGCTGTTCAAGACCCCAGCGGCTGCACAGGAGAAATGAACCTAGTTGTTCCCGGGAAGAGCTCCATTCTCAGAAACTGTCTATGGCTGCTAGGAATGGCCATGGGCTCCATGGCAGTGGGTGGGCACTATGTACCCAGCAGGATGCCAGGTCTGATGGGACCACCGGTTGTCCTCTCTGCCCTCATGAGACTGCATAGCTGGAGGAGGCCTTGGCCATATGTAAATCAAACAGTCCCACCAGCACATAGAAACCCCCCCCACCCCCCACTGCAGTAAGTTTGTCTGAGGATGCCATAGAGGAGAGAAAGGTTAGGTAGAAGAACAAAAATAAGTCCTAGTTCCGAGCTTTCATCTATGAGTGTATTAAACATTTAAAACTTCATTAAATACTAAAAGCAAACAAATGAAAACAATGGAGAAACTCCTAGTGCCCCATGTGTGTCAGAGAAGAACCGCGCTCCACAGGGTGTCCAACGGCCGCACTTCTAGCGGTGGACTGCCAGGCCTTTATTCTGAGACAACTGGAACCTCTAACCTCTCAGACGGTAGCTGAGTGCGCGAGCTGCTGGCACCACCCCGGGCTTTCCCAGCAAATACCAGAGTATTACTTAAAAAAAAATCCTTCTGGGCAGGTGCTCATCACTCTGGCTAAGCAGATCTCACAAAGCGCTGAAGGCCTGGCCGCTTGCTCTGACGGTAGGCATATTGAGCAGCATCTGGCTATCCACAGGAGCTTCTGGTAACACTTGCTCATATCTTGTAGTCTCTGGCCTGGGATGCGTCACAAGAGAGCCTGTGTGCTTCTGATTGCACTGGTGCTCTGAGGGCATCTGACTTCCCTGGGCAGCGGACCGCAGGAGGTCCTTACACCCGAGGAGAAATCGTGTACCACGGAAAGGCACTGGCTGCAAAAGAACGGAGGGAGCTTGAAATGGCCCTCCGTGGACTGGCCTTTGAATCCTCAGACATTCGCCCTCTAGGAAGTGAGGGCTGCAGCCCCCCGGCCGTGTAACATGTTGATCCTGGGGCATCGTGAAGAGAGCCACAGCCAGTGAGAGTGAGACGAGATGCTTGCCCAGCCTCTGGACGAGGCCGCAAGAGGGTCTGTGTGGAAGCCCGTGCGTGGGTGAGTGTGGAAGAAGGGCTAGCCTGCAGTTAGGAGGCCCTGGTATTCCTAGTCCTCCCTGAAGCTTTGGGAGGAAATATACACTAGCCAAGAAGGAGGAAAGGAAAAGAGCAAGAGAAAGGAAAGGAAAAGAAAGAAAGGAAGATAAAAAGAAAGATAGATAGATACATAGAAAGAGAAGGCAGACCTCCCTGGTATAAATGTCAACTGAATTCACAGACATAGAGCGAGCCAGTCCTTCCTAGGCACGCCTGGTATGATTACGGGAGCGTCACTCCTCCCCCTCAGGCTTCAGTGTGCACCACACACCATGGCTTCTTGGGGACTCATGTCTGCCTTTGTGGCTCTGGGTTCTCAGGTTGGTTGCCAGGTGCTGCCCAGTGGATTCCGACTCTCATGTGCTATGGAGGAGCACGGCTCCGTAGGGTTTTCTTGGCTGTCATCGTTTTAGAAGTCGACTACTGGGCCTTTCCTCAGTGGAGCTCCTGGCTGGGTTTGAATGGGCAACCTTTTTGTTAGCAGCCAAGGCATTAGTCTATTATGCCACCAGGGCACCTTGTATGACATGCACAGCTTGCAGCCTCGTGTCCCGTAAAGGTGTGGGGATGGGACGGAAGCTGGAGCTTGGCAATTTTAGTGTGGGAAACTTAAATCAGGCTCCGTCCTGTACTGCCTAGGCCACCAGGGGAGGAATGCTTGGGCTCTCTGGGTGTGGGACTCCTTATTTGGAGTCCCTCGGTGGGGCAAACGGTTCCATGTTCACTATAGCTCAGAGGCTGGTGATCTGCACCCATCCCATAGTGACTTGGGAGACAGGTCTGGCCAGAGCCTTGAGAACGTCACGGAGCATTCCAGTCAGGACACACATATTAGGGGGGGCATGCGTTAGAGTCCCCTTGGTGGCAGCCTGCCTCAACCACAACAAGGCATGTCTTTTAAAAACACATCAATGGCGGTTTCTTTGTCTCATTAGAAGGTAGTGTCCAAGTCTTCATACAGAGTTGCTTCTATTTGATACGATGTGTTTCGTGATTCATTTATTTACATCGCTACCTCTTCATGGTATAGGTCTGCCTAGGGCTTCGTTTGAATTTTGTAGCTTTTACTGCTTTGCCATCAAGGAGCCGTGGTGGCACAGAGGTTAATCCTCGGGCTGCTCACCATACGATCGGTGGTCTCCGCCCACCAGGTGCCCCAGGAGAGAGCAAGGAGGCAGTCTGCTTCCACAAAGAGAACTGCTGGGCTTGCTTATTTTACAAGGACTTTGTGTCCACTGCAGAATGGTCCGCTGCACCACAGGGTCCACGTACACTCTGCGCAGATGGATGTCAAAGAGGTGGGAGTAAGAGGTGTTTTCTTTACCGAAAACGCTCATGGATAATCTATACTGTTGCCCTTGTCTTCCCCCCTTTCCCCCCAAGCAAAATAGCCTGAATGGATATTGTAAATCATCCCAGAATATTAGCTCAGTGACACTCCTGGGTAATATCCGCATTTGTATATCAATGTAAGTCATAAAATGATCTAATGTGGCTTTGGGGACTACCTTCTGCGGGCACAGCCCATCTCTCGTCATGCTCTGTGGCTACAAATGGGGCCTGCCCCACCATCAGGGGAAGTCTTCCGGCAGAGAGGGTGCCATTCGTCTAAATTTTTGTAAAAGGATGTATTCAATTAATACAGTACTCGGTCCATTCTCCCCCTGTGGCCCCACAGAAAATAACCAAGGGTCAAATTCGCCCAGGAAAACCTCGTGTGACTCTGATGTGCTTGTGGACAGCGACATTCTGTGACTGAAGGCCACCAAATGCTCCCATGCTAACATGGAACAAGAGCCATTTCCCTTGGGGGTTGTCCCCACCCCTGCCCAGTTGAAAAAATAAAAACAGCATCATTGCTGAATGAACAGGAAGCCAGATGCCGAGATGAGTCCCATTCTTTTGAAAACCAAAAATAATTTCTACCCTCAAAATTCTAGGAGCTTGCAATTTTTACCCTTGTTTATATGATAAACTAGAACCCTGATATCATACATTATCTTACAAAACTCTCGTTATCTTCTTAGCTGTTTCATGCATAGAGTCGATGCAAAAGAAAGGGACAGTTTATTTATTTCATATCTGAGCCTTTTCCTACTGGACAAGTATACCTTGATCACATTTCCTGCATGCCTGGCTTCAGAATAGGTTTTGGACCACTGTCATTGAGTCCATTCTGATTCATAGTGACTCCGTGAGATTTCTGAGGCTGTAAACCTTTACAGGAACAGACAGCCTCATCTTTCTCCCTCGGAATGGGCAGGTGGGCTTGAACCGCTGACCTTGCGATTGGCAGTTCAATACTTACACAACAGTGCCACCAGGGCTCCTTTAAGAGGATGAAGTCTTCTCTAATCAAAGGTTAAGGGATTTTTAATGATGTGTGCGTGAATACTTTAAAAAAGTTCTACAGCGATGATACTGAAATGGGGTGCTTGCAAGCAGGCAGGTCATTTGTTCAATAAACTGCTAATTCTCAGAGCATGGCCCTAATGTTAGAAAATATTTAGATCCTCAGGGTGGTACAAAACCAAGTGAAGTGCTTTCAGCTGGATCTCCAGGGGCCCAGGACTTGGGACACAAGTTACCAGAACTTTTGGAAGTCATACTACATAGCAAAGTGGGAATTTTGAGCTAAAAAGTATGCATTATGGCAGAAAGCCTAACAGTTTCAGCTGCTCAGTGCTTGCCACCAGCAAATGCACTGTCGCTGGGGCACCGTCATCAGGGAACTTGCTAGAGGACTGCCACGTGTTCTTCTGCACAGTGATTGTTTCAAACGGTGTCTGCCGCTGAATGAGGCAAGTGGAACTCGCTGAAGAGGCAGATGGTGTGCTACATAGATGCTTGTGATAATAATAGAAAGAAACCGAGTCCATTTGTAACTGGAGTGTAT